GAATACATTTTTACCTTAACAATTCAATGAATGAAAACCCACCTTACCATTGGAGAGCTTTTAAAAATCATTGAAGCATTTCTTTAAGAAAACATTCAGAATTAACAAATCGTGTAAAAATACTCAGTGTGTCCATTATATAAAGATTTTCCTTTTTTGTAACTTGAAGAATTAAACTAGATAAGACTTAACATATTTAATAGAATAAAAGAGAACATGACAGTAAAATGCCATAGAATTGTTTGAAAACCAAATTAACAGGTTATTTCCATTTAAGTGCCCAAACATTTGCTTGGGGCAGGGGGAAGAGTGGCTAATTCAGTAAAATTCTGAACAAAGTGCCAAACTAGAGCTAGTCATACATATTGTTAATGCAAAGAAATTGTTCTTTCTTATGGAGTTTATAGAGAACTAAAATTAATGAAAATTAACCTTATTCCTAGTATTAGCTGCAAACAACACGATCCATGTGATGCAGCTTACTCCACAGTTTCTAAATCTATAGTTTCTTTTTTTGTGCTGTATATATGAGGTTTTGGAATACTAGTGTGAGTCCTGAAATAATGTTTCCTTAAATAAGTTTTTTCTTCTCAGGCTCAGTTCTCCCACACCTTATTGTTCAGCAAGAACGTATCACTGTAGTCTTCCTTTATTTCTGTCCAAGTACTGTAAAATCCTGTACATCAACTTCCAAGGCAGTCTTTGCTTAGGACAATGTTTAATGTCAGAACGGGTCTTTATTCTCCAGGTGTATCTGAAATACAGGAACCAAAATTCATGAAGTAATGTTCAGGCAGGGAAAGACATTTGGGAGATAAGAGAACTGCAAGTTTGTTCTTACTTTCTTTAAAAAAACAGATATCATGACATGTAATTGATTCCACCAAGAAACTTTGAATCTGAGGGAAAGAATAGAAATGCCTTGTAATGATATATCCGTAATCTGCCCTTAATAGGAAAACTTTAGCAATGTAAATAGTCAAAATGGTCTTTTAGTTCTGTCAGCTGCCATGATTTAAACCCAGCTGGTAACTCAGTACCACACAGCTGTTTGTTCACCCCTACTCCCTTTTCTCCAGGCAGGATGGAGAGGAGTATCAAAAGAATGTAAACCTACAGGCTGAGATAAGAACTGTTTAATAACATAAAATAAAGTACAGTATAGACATAATTGAAAGTATACCAACAATAAAAATACTGATAAAACCAGGAAATAACAAAAAATGAGATGAAAGCTCAGAAAATACAAGTGATGCAAAATGCAATTACTCATGACTTGCTGACTGATAAGCAGTCCAACCCAACCAAGGATTGGTCCGTTCTGGGTAACTTCCCCTAGGTTATATACTGGGCATGATGTGCTGTGGTGTTGATTACCCCTTTCGCTAGTTTGGGTCAGGTGTCCTGTGTCTGCTCCATTGCAGCTTCTTGTGCCCCTCCTCACTGGCAGAGTATGAGATACTGAAAAGATTGATTTAGAGTAAGCACTAAGCAACAACTAAAATACTAGTGTATTATCAGCATTGTTCTCAGACTAAACTGAAACACGGCACTGCACCAACTACTAGAAAGAAAAATGACGTAAAGTAAGATGAGAAATATCTGCCTTAAAAATTTGGAAAACACTAAAATGTTTTTAATTATTATGCTTTCATATATATATATCACTATCAAAAACAAATTATTAAATTTGAACTGAGAACCTTTAACTCTTAAAATACAGATTTGCATTTCCTAAGTAATCTGTGTGATTTACTAGGAAAGTGACTTTTAAAAAGTAACTCCCATGGGTTTAGTAAGAGTATATAGTAAAGCCAGCAGCAGTCTGTGTACATTAATGCTACCCATTTAATTAATATGTCCTCTTACTAATTTAATAATTTAAAATTAGCAGAACTTCTTAGGAGAGCAGATTATTTTAATGGAAAACTAATACCCTTTCTAGTCAGTAGCATTGGAAAGATAGGAATGAAAGCATGATTGATTGAAAATGTAGCTGGTAATGAAAGCAAAGCTTGGAATCATTAATTTACTGAAAAAAAAACCAAAATCTCAGGACTACCACATTTTAACACTCTTGGGTTTTGTTAAATGGACCAGGAAGATAAAATATCTATAATCATGGCATGACCTTGTTTTTTATAATCATGTGGAATAGAGATGCCCTCACCATTCAAATACAAGAAAAATAATCACTTCCAGAATTGCAAGTAAAGTGAGCTTGAAGTATGTTTTTGTGTAGTACTTTTGGCCTGCCAATGCTTTTGAAGCATTCCTTGATAAGAGCAATCAAGAATTTTCTTTCCTAATGCTGGCTTACAAGAATTCCATTTTTGATAGTTTGATCTTCTATAATGGGCAGATGAACTTGTCTTTTGTCATCTTGAATGTAGTTTTTGGCAATATATTAACAAAACATCTGTTTCTGTAAGTTTTAAGTGCTTACATCTAGTGATATCAAATATGACACTAGTGATGCAGAGTGTGACGCTAAAAGAGAACTTCCAAGGAGCTCAATTGATCAGAGCTGTTTGCTGAATGCTTGCATGGTATGGGGGATTGTTGTGGTTTAACAAGGATAAACAGGTTTCAGAACTGCCTTCTAATTTGTACCAATGGATAGTTTAGCATAGTGCAAGTAAGACTGTGCCAAGGTCTGATCAAATACAGAATCACATGGCAGCCCCCCTGGGCTCATTTTCCAGGGAACACTTGCCAAGTCCAATCTCCTGTCATGCACGTTCCACTAGAGCTTGACCTCTAGGGCTGTTGGGGCTAAGGCCACATACATCAGCACAGAATCTTAGATGTTTTATTTTACACTGTTAATCTTTACTAGGTAAAAAACATTTCCCATGATCTTAAAGCAGTTCTATGTGTAGCATGTTAATAGATTTATTGCAAATGTCTGATTTTTATCTTTGGCTATATATTCACACATGGACTAGACAAAGATTATGGTATCTCTGTAATTCCTGCTATGATTTCCTTTAAAAAGCTGCCAGTAGTCAGATGGATAGCGATGATAAAAGGCTATAGGAACTTTTCATTAACTATAAACATTTGTGTATAAAATACATGGTTTTGAATTGAGACTGCAGTACTTAAGTGCTTCATTTTTGTTGTGAAACAAAGAGCTAGAGGAACTGGTGTAACCTCTGGCTTCTGGACACTTTGTCTGCTCCAGAGGAGGACCTGTCATCTTCAGCATTCTTTTTATCTCCTCCACACCTCCCCTGGCCTACACACGTGAAAAAAATCAGAATGCTCTTGCATTATATGTAATCTACTCTTTTTTTGCTGGGACTTACCTGTAGCTACATTTCTCTATAGTAGTTTTTGTAAGACTATATTTTGGGTTTGTGCTGAAAGCAGTTGATAACACATCATTGTTGTAGATACTGCTGAGCAGTGCTTCTACATTGTCAAGTCCTTTTCTGCTTCTCACACTGCCCCACAAAAAGTAGGCTGAAGATGCACTGGTAGCTGGGAGGGACATAGAGAGGATTTTTGACCCCAACTATCCAAAGGGACTTCCCGTTCCATGTGGCAGCATGTGCATCAATGAAAGCTGTGGGGAAAAAAAAGGAAGGGAGGGTACTTTACGTGTCATAGTGTTGTGGTTTAACCCCAACCAGACAGCTTGTCCACTCACTCTCCCCCCTTCTTGCCCTACCCTATTCTCGAAGGGACGGAGAGGAGAATCAAAAAGAATGCAACTCCCACGGGTTGAGATAAGAACAGTTTAGTAACTAAGGTATAACACAAATCATTACTGCTACCACCAATAATAGTAATGATAAAGGAAATAACAAGGGAAGAGAATACAACACCTCATCACCAGCCGACCGACAACTCGCCCCCCCCCAGCCCAATGAAGCACCGACTGATACCTCCTCCAACCCTGCAGTCCCCCTAGCCCTTCCGGGTAACTCCCAGTTACATCCTGGGCATGACGTGCTGTGGTATGGAATACCTCTTTGGTCAGTTTGGGTCAGGTGTCCTGTCTCTGCTTCCTCCCGGCTTCCCCTCCTCCCTGGCACAGCATGAGGCTCACAAAGTCCTGGGCCAAACCAAAACATCATTTTTATCAGCTTTGTTCCCAGCCTGAAAGTAAAAACACAGCACTGCACCAGCTACCAAGAAAAAGAAAAAATGACTGCTACTGCTAAACCCAGGACACATGGAGCCCTGCATTCCTGGGGATGGCTGTACACCTGCCTGCTGGTGGGAAGCAGTGAATTAATTCCTTGTTTTGCTTGTGTGTTGGCCTTTGCTTTATCTATTAAACTCTCTTTATCTCAACCTACCAGTTTTCTCACTTTTAGCCTTTTTTCCTCTCACCCATCCCATGATGGGGTGGAAAAAAGCAGCTGTGTGGGGCTCAACTGCCTACAGAGAGACCTACGAACGTGTTGGTCGTCAATTAGTATTTTCTAAAGTACTTTGAGATGTTTAGATGAAAGATGAGTGGTGCTTATTTGTAGGAAAATTACAAGAAGGAAAGTACATCACCATATCTCTCATAATGAATGTCTTAAAAAAGATTTCAAAGAGCTTTGTGTATTACATTTTCATTTTATGTTGATAAAATAAGTTTTAACCATTAGAACACCACCAAGACACATATAATTTTAATTCTCTATTTCTCTTATTGGAAACCTGTGCTTTTCATCTTTCTAATAACTGTATAAAGAAGCACCAGCTGCTAGGAAGAAAAATAACTCTTACACCTGAAACCAGGATGCTCTTGAAATTTTAGATTCTCCATTTAACTATTTTTCTTGTAAGGTGACCCTCAAAGCCTTCTTGCCTTGCCAAATTACGGATGTTATCATTGTAATGTATTGCAGGATAACCATTCTTTTTGGCATTTGCAGCTATAGGTTACCCTAGTGGAATATTCTTTACTGATGAATATAGGGAACTATGTAAACAATAAATAAACTGGTTTGAATTTAAAATTTAAAGCTTATTCATATCTTCTGTTTTTCACACAGGTGATAGATGTGAAGTAAATATAGATGAATGTATGTCTACTCCTTGCCTCAACAATGGAATTTGCATTGATGATATCAGTTTTTATAAGTGTCACTGTAGAAGAGGTTTCATTGGAACAAACTGCGAGATCAATGTTAATGAATGCTTGCCAGATCCTTGTCTTCATGGAAGGTGGCTATCTTTATTTAACTATTACCATCTTCAAGATAATCTACCTAACTAGAGATATTTAAGATTTAATGATATGGGAAGGTTGATAAATATACTCTTAATTATGTTCTTCCATAAAATAAGAGTACTAGCAACTTAAAGATGACAGATGTTGCTTGCTTAAACTAATGTAATACACTGTTTTATTATCTGTTTCTCTTTCATTTTTACTCATTATCATAAACCAGTTTTCAGTATGTGTGCATTAGTTAGAGTTTAATATACGTAAAAACAAATCTTCAGCTGTTACCTGCCAACAGATTGAAATAGGAAGGCATCTTGGAATATGGCAATCAGAATCCTTATAAAACTCCTCAGCATCCATAACATACTCATTTAAGCCCCATTGTTAAAACTAAGTGCTATGGATTTCAGTAGGTTACATCAGACCATTGTTTGAAAATGTATGGAATGATACTACTAATGCTGAATCTAGAATTACATCGCTTCATCTGAATAACACTATTTTGTATTTCAGATGTATAGATCTTATTGATGGATATCAATGCTCTTGTGAACCAGGATGGACCAGCTCCAGATGTGAGATAAATATTAATGTATGTCTTCAAATTTTATTTTAATCATAGGGGAAAGGGTAATATGCTGCTTGAAGCTCATTTTTTCATTTAAGTAACTTCTGAACCTGTCCGTTTATTGAAAATGCATGCCAAATCCAGTTGTTTCAAATCATTCTGAAAAGTTCATTATTTATTACTTACATGAAATGCTTTAGAAAAGACAGTTAAGAAAATGTTTAAAAGTGGAGTGTGAGTGATAAATGTGAAAGCCACAGAAAGATAAGCCAATGTTACCTGAAAATCATTTATCCCTCATGAATGACATAACTACCTAATTTACATTGCAAGCCCCATTTGCTGTAGCTTAATTGTATGTTTGAATGGTAAAACTCAAGGTGCAATGTGCTGCAGTGAAAGTAGGCATGACTAGTGTTTAAATTCTCAAAATCCAAGTAACTGTAGAATTCTATGATACAGAATGGTAGCATACAAAATACTCTGCCCGCTTCCTCCTCTTAAATCTAGGAATATTTTTGCTTTATCATGAGGAACAACAGTGTATAAGAAGGCATCTGTATATGTGAGTTTGTGCCATAAAGATTCCCGTGGTCAGCAAACCATATTGTAGAAGATGACATCTGGTATAGCAAGGAACAGCCCTTACAATGTTGGCCACACTTTGGGGGAAGTATTGAATTTGTTTGGACTTTTTCAGATTTTGTGCCAAAAAGTTTAATAAGATCTTGGGATATGTTCCTCTCAAATGTATTTGCTTTCATGAGAAAATCTGGCTTGAGATCTGCCTCCCTTTGTGATATCTGGCTATTATTGTGCTTCTGAATTGTCAAAAGCACATTCCAAAATGTTATCTAAAGTTCTTTTTAACTTATGTATGCATGTAAGAGCCTTTCATTATTTTTATATATAGCTAAAAGCATTAAAAATACTTCAGATCTATAACTTTTCTTTTGAAAATGCATTACAAGATTGCACAAGAAGTAAACCTAGCTGTAATATTATCTTCCAACTACCTTTTCAGAAAGAAAAATCAGAAAATAAGTAATTCAGCTCAAAAGAGTGCCCATCATGATATGATACTGCAAATCTGTATGATTATCAGCTGTCGCCAATGCTAATACAAAATACTTTTGAGTAATATTTTGTCTAGCAACATCCATGATTTACACTTTACTCCATTTTAACAGAATGAGAGATTAAATGATCTGTAGACAACTGCATAAAATCATATTCAAAAGATAACCATATTTCATGCTGAGGTGTTTGAAAATGCATAGATTAAAAACTCGTTGAAAGAAACAGTGTATATATATATTTGACAGATAAGTCTGTCAGAGTGATGGCTATTTTTTTTTATACTCATTCTATTTGCATGCAGTGCAATTCCCAGATTAGACTGTAATGCAGGTGTCATACTTTTAAAGTCTCTAACACTGCATTCATCCTGCTCAGACAGATACCATGCCTATGCAAGTCTTACACTGATTAACAGGGCTGTCTGACTGTGTACGTGTGTGCACATCTGAATAATCATGGTAGGCTCATGCTAGATTCAGATAGGTAAATCTAAGACTAGAAGAAGAGAGAGATACCCCCTTTTATTCTACAAAGCACATCTGTGATTACTCACCCATGGAACAACCGTGAAGTAGTAAGTTTATTTTAAGTAAGTGGCTGAATTTAATAGATTCTATTAAATGGAGAATTAATAGAAGAATAGAGAATAGAAATTGGAGAAATAGATAAATGCGTGAGGCCTACATATTTCTGATCTCTTACATAAGAAAAGCCTGTAAATAGATGCTCACAGTATGGTCTTACAAGGATGCTCTAACAACAGAGAGTATTTTAAAAAACAGAAGTATTTGATTATTTGGTACACAGGTAACTGGCTTTATGACATTAGAGAAGCCTTGTATACAGGTGCTTTGCATCTGGAAAGATGTTGGATCTCAAATTTTTTCTAGAGACATTACTTGGGTGTGCTGAAAAGAAGCTGATAAATGTGACCTGTGTTGATAACCACTAATGGAGGGAAGTGTAGGAAGGATATTCTTGAGGTTACAAATTCAGGCTGGGCAGGTCTAGGACATGCATCTAGCTTTCTTTGAAAAATTTCTGTGTCCATATAAGACCTGAGTGGGAGACAGAGATTGAGCCTCAGTACATGTTTAATATCTTGGTAGAGACAAAAGCAATTCAAATGCATTTGAAAATAGAAAACCTTTTGAAATTTAAGGAACCAGTACAGGAATGGGTTGCACATTTATCATTATGGAACCAGGCTATTGAATGAAAATTAAAATGGTTGTCAGGGAATATTCAAACTAGATGCTTGAGAAGTTCTGACACATATAGAAGAGTACTGTATAAGAATGACAAAACTGAAAATCTGAATATGACTAATGTTCAGTATGCCTCTGAGAAGACCAGCATCTGGCCCAAGAGCTGTTAATGACAGAGATTATGTCTATTAGGGACTATAATACAGCTGGGTTTATGACAGTAACATGAAAGAGCATGCCAAATAAATCCAGTGGACAGATATTCAATTTCAAGAATGAAGACCATGTGAAAATGAGATGTATTGTCAAATAACTTAAAAGGAGCAAGCCAAAACCATGAGAAACTTACAGGCAGACTCAGGGCTATCAAACAAATAATTTGTTAAAAGTCCATGTAAAATGTGTGCCACAGTTCAAGAACACAAAGTGGTTCAAAGCTCCTGGATGACTTAAGGAAGAAACATAAGGATTTAACAGGGAAAACTGGCATTTTAACAAATGAAAGCTTGCCCACATAGGAAGAACAGAAAGGCTGTAAAACATACAAGTTCAAATGTTGGCAGGAAGATCAAAAAGTCGAAACATAAAAATTGCCTCTTACAGGATACTCTAACTTATAGAAAGCTCTTTGCATCTATCAAAATCAGGAATTCAGGAAGGGAACTGGTGGGATTGCTTGATGGCTAAAGTGTAAAATGGGCACTCGGGCAGAGTAGGGTCATAGCTAGAGAAGCCCAGTGAATTCTTCACATTTGAGAAATGTAGAAAGACATCACAATATGGAAAGAGTGAAAAGGTGGTGGATAATCATCAGTGTAAGACAAAAATCTAGGGAAGTATTGCCATGTACAGTTGAATTCAGAACTGTCAGTCAGAACTCAGGAAGGAAGACTTGGAGCAATCATTGACATCTCTCTGAAACTATTCTGTTTGGAGAAAGCTGAGGGGAAGGCAATTAAGGTTTAGAAAACTATGACACTGGTAGATAAACTTAAATGGAAAATTTCTTCACCAAATTCTGTAGTAAAAGAATTGGGGGGACATGATGAAAAGAATTGGAGAAACATTTTAAAATGCTTTCATGGGAAGCAGAGAACATCAAGAACTTGCATCCACAGAAGACCAGGGAGGCAGGTGATTTCTTAGTAGATTCAGAAAAATTAAGTAAGTTACGGATTATAGGTCCATAAATTAACGATAAATGAACCAGTCAGGGAAGTACTGTTTACCATGTCTGATTAGACAGTTCTGCTTACTGGGAGGATGCATGGGACATAGACTATAGATAGTGGCAAATTTCACATGATTTTTCTAAAGTGGCCTTTTCACTATTATAGACAGAAATCTGGGCTAGATGGAGCACTGGTCTGATCCAGTAGGTTCCTGCTCTTCATTGTTAATTAAAAATATTATTTATTTTTACTATTTTTATCTTCTCTTTGTGTCTATAATCAAAAATTTTGAAGCAAAATATTTTTGTCTTTTTCAACTTACTTTGAATTGAGTGCTGATGGATAAAACCAACACTCTAAAATATGAAAATCAGTTTTCCTACTTCATTCCACAGAATGTTGTATGTGTATTTAATCCACAAAATGAAAATTCCTTAGGAAGTTAATAAGTAAATAATATGGGTATGTGATAATATTAAAAAAAATACAGAAAAAATAGAGTAATAATTTTACTGGTTATAAAAATACACTTCGTAGTTTTGTTAAATTTAAAATAGAAATAAGCATCTGTAGCATTCATAATTTTGCCTTCGTTCCCATCATAAATGACTGGAAACATGACTCTAAAAGACATCTTTCTTTTGTGGTGCAGTATCTATTTTTGAATTGGTTTCTTATCTCTTTCTTTTCAACTTCATCAAACTGGGTTTTAAAGCTCTGTTTGGTTCAACCTTCTACAAGTCAGTGACTTCCACTCAAACCCAATTTTCTCCCAAATATCAGGATGCTTGCTTTTACTCCCTGAATCAGTGTTTAAGGCTACTACCTTTTTCTTCTTCAAGTCCTCCCATACAGTTAGTCATTTCATAATTGTCTACAAAGATATCAGACAGTAAATAGTACTTGGAGCTTTATGTCATAAGTATTCACAGGAAATTAAACTGTACTACTTGCACTACCTACAAGTATGTTGAAAGATACATTTGTAAATAGCTTATGTGTATTTCCTGTAGACTTTTTCCACTCTTAGTGGATTTGCATGGGTTGGCTATGCTCAGAATTAATCCACTTCATAATTACCTTTTTGATATAAGGCAAAACTTCACTTAAATAAAAAAGCAACTATCATCAGAATTTTGTTTTGCCTTGAATCTCTTTTATAGAAATAGATTTCAAAGTGACAGCAGAAATATTTTTTCATTTCTAATCAGTTTCCAAAGACAACTACTGAAAAACAGTCCTTTCTGTAAAAAAAAAGGAAAAAAATCCTAACTTTAAAAAGATTTCTAGATTTTGTTTTAAGAGATTTGAACTAACACATTTTTTTAAAAAATATGGATTTTCACTGTTTTTATTAATTTGCTAAAATGTATTACCTCGTAATTATTGCAAGCTATGGATTGTGGCTTTGGAAATGAAATAACATGACTTGTGGAAAAATGATCTCACTTCCAAAGGCAGATTAAGTATGGACCCACAAATATGGATAAGGGAGCAGTATGCCTTGAACAAAGTGCTGTGCCTTTCTAGGTCAATTGCTACAGTCCAGATTTCAGTGCAGTTCCCTGCCAGCAGAATCAGTGGAGTGTGCCATGACAAGAGGGATCTCTTAAGGAACAGTCATGCCCTTTCTAGTACAGACAAGCTTTACTACACCATGACATTCAGAGAACAAGAAATAATAAACTAGTGTGTTCTGGTAAATGTAGTGGATCTTGTTTTGTATTGTTTGAACTAAGGATTCTCAGCAAAACTTACTTTTAAAAGAGTTGCAAAACCAGACATCTTAGTATTCTTTCAATTTTTGCCTTGAATTTTGAATTGTCATGCTATGCTAAAAAAAATGAATGAAGATGTTCATGTTCCATAACAATAATTTAGTAAAAATACAGAAAATCACCATTCTGTCTTCCTTCAGAAGTCTGTATATTCCTTTCATTCTTTCCTGTAGAAACTAATAATTTTATTTAATTTATATTTGCCTAAATAATATGTTTTTGAGATACTTCCAGCCTTTATTTAAAAACTTGAGGAGGCAGATCCACTACTTTTGCCAGTTTTACAGTGGATGACTCTTAAAAGTAATGTTGGACCTTATCTCTAGTGGATATATCTGGATTCAGGAATCCAGTTAGTCAGCTTTGTACTGATTTTCTCTGGGACTTAAAATGCTCCATAACTTGTAATACTTCTTGTGAAAATAACTGTGCACTGCCATTGTCTCTCGCTCTCTCTCTCTCTCTCAGTTTTCTAGGTGGTAAACTAAAGCTAAGAACACTCATAGAGCTGCGTTCTGAACTTCTTGCAGCCAAGAGCTCATGCTGATTATTTCTTTCAATGGCTAGAAGCAGGCTTATATTCCATGAATTTGTCTAATCATTTTAACCGATATATATTATTTGTGTTTTCAGCAGTATCATGTGAAAATGAGATATATATATGTAATAATGGCTTTAGAAAAAAAAAATCTATCCTAAAAATTCCATTAAGTATTATTTTCCTTACACTTAGCTTACTGTAAAGCATTTCATCTAGTATCTAAATCATTTTATATTCTCAGGTTTTTTACATCCTTCATAATAAACAGATTCTAGAACTTGGCACAATATTTCAGTTTCCCCTAGCCATGAAAAGAGGAACAATCTTCTGGCTAAGTGCAAGTCACAGTTCCTTTCTCTGGAGACTTAAGGATAGCATTAGCAATTTTTTCCATAGCATTGCAATGGGAGTTCATGTTGATAGCTTGTCCATTATAACTACCAAGTTTTTTGCAAGGTCATTGCCTGTTAGCAACACATAAACTCAAAGGATTCCTTGATAGATCAAAGTGGGAAAAGTGTATGCTTCATAGAAAAAAACAGACACAGAAAAAAAAAGCCTAATGGAAGGGAGCCCTCCTGCTTTACTCTAGGATATCCGATACAAGAATACTCCAAGATACTGGAATGAGGTTAACGTGTGTCAGACTGGTGAAGTGAAAAAAAAAAAAAACCAAACAAAAAACAAAAACACACCAAAACAACTCTATACAAATAATGATAATTATGTTATTTTCATTTTGTGATAACATTTGTTTTCTTTATAAGATAGGTTATTGAAACTGTCCATGTTCTAAAAATGAGCTTGGAAGGAGAGTATTGTTATGCTGTAAAGTGTGTGTACTGGGCATCGTTTACAGATTTGGTGATGAACACCCCACCTAAAGTTAATACAGCTCAGTTTGGACAGATTACTTGCTCTGATATGACAGAAAGAAAGTTTTCCAGCCTATGAATAAACTTAGGTGTGGTGAGTTTACTTTGGCTGGCTGCTAGACACACACCCAGCTGCTCTTGCACTCCCACATCAGCTTATGGATCAAGATAAGAATAGGGAAATTGGTCATGGTCACTAATTACTGTCACAGACTCAATTTGGGAAGGTTACAGGCTGGAGAGTTGGGCGGGGAGAAATTTGATGAAATTCAACAAGGGCAAGCGTAGAGTCTTGCATCTGGGGAAGAACAACCCCAAGTACCAGTACAGGTTGGGGACTGACCTGCTGGAAAGTAGCGAAGGGGAAAGGGACCTGGGGGTCCTGGTGGATAGGAGGAGGACCATGAGCCAGCAATGTGCCCTTGTGGACAAGAAGGCAAATGGCATCCTGGAGTGCATTAGAAAGGGTGTGGTTAGTAGGTCAAGAGAGGTTCTCCTCCCCCTCTATTCTGCCTTGTTTAGGTCGCATCTGGAATATTGCATCCAGTTCTGGGCCCCTCAGTTCAAGAAGGACAGGGAATTGCTTGAAAGAATACAGCTCAGAGCCACAGAGATGATTAAGGGAGTAGAACACCTCCCTTATGAGGAGAGGTTGAAGGAGCTGGGTCTCTTCAGCTTGGAGAAGAGGAGACTGAGGGGTGACCTCATCAGTGTTTACAAATATGTAACAGGTGGGTGTCAGGGTGATGGAGCTAGGCTTTTTTCAGTGATATCCAGTGATAGGACAAGGGGCAATGGGTGTAAACTGGAGCATAGAAGGTTCCACGTTAACATCAGGAAGAACTTCTTTACTGTGAGAGTGACAGAGCACTGGAACAGGTTGCCCAGGGGGGTTGTGGAGTCTCCCACATTGGAGATATTCAAGGCCTGCCTGGACAAGTTCCTGTGTGATGTACTCTAGGTTACCCTGCTCTTGCAGGGGGGTTGGACCAGATGATCTCTTGAGGTCCCTTCCAACCCTTGGGATTCTGTGATTCTGTGATTAGTTTACTGCTGATGAAAACCTAGAACACTTCCTCCCAGCCTGACAAAAAATATGCTTCTGCACAGGCTCCTCTCCATAGGCTGTACATCCTGCCAGGAGCCTGCTCCCGCAGGGGCACTCCATGGGTTGCAACTTCTTTTGGCGCACATTCACCTACTCTGGTGTAGTATTCACACACATGGCAGTGTGGATATCTGCTCCACTGTGGTCCTCCATGGGCTTAAAGGGGCCAACCTGTTTCACAATGGTCTTCTGCAGGGGCTTCAGAAGAATCTCTTGTGGAGATTATCTGAACCACCACCTTTTTCTCCTTCTTCTGTAACCTTTGTGTCTGCTGGCTGGTTTTCACACTTTTTCCTTGCTTTCTCATGTTCTGCTGCACAGTGGTTTTTACTCTTTCTTAAACATACTTTCCCAGAGGTGTCATATTGGCTGCCGGACTTAGCTGTGCCCTATGATAGGTTCAGTGAACCACCTAGAATCATCTGTGTTTGGCGCAGAGTGCAATAATGCTAGTGTGGTAGTTCACTTAATTTTGGTATTATTTAATTTTACTTTTTTAATTATCCATTGCTTGATAGATTCATACTTTATTCTGCTAAAGTGCAAAGCTGTAATAACAGAAGTAGTAGAGATGGATACAAATGAATATAAATTAAGGACACTAGACAAGAGAAATTACTGGAACAGGAAAAAAGGCAGAAAGTTGGAACTGTGAATTGAGATTTTTTTATGAGCACAACAAAGAAGACTTATGTTTGCCAAATGCAAATGTAATTAATATAGCAAAAAGACTACTTCTAGAACCTAGACAGAGGATTTTGGCAGTGTGTAGAACTATCCCCATCTTCCCATGGGGTATGTAATTCAATTAGTTTAGATAATGCTCACTAATAAATCATCCTATATACACCCAGCTGGAGAGCTTATAGGAAAATAAGTTGTTTTCTCACAATTCCCCCTGGGTAACTGAATTTGCATTTTGTCAAAGCAAATACAGTACCTGAAAGAAAGCTGAGTGCCCTTGGATATTCTTAAAGAATTAAACATCCTAAAGTTACAGGAGTGTGAGAATACATTTAAAATACTAGATTTAGGTAGACTGAGTGGTAGTAGCAAAACAAAACTCCCCTGAGATATAGGCCAAAATTCGGTTTCTGTGCTCAACAGCAAAACCACATTTTTTGCACTGGCAACTGCACTAACTAAACTCACCTGTAATTCTGGGGAAACATTGATTTGCTGCTACTTTGCATGGTTTGAATTTGATTGCTTTCAGGTTAGCTTTATCAGAGGGAATTGTTATTATGTGAATACATAAACACTTCTACGTGTTTCTATTTGCAATTTTATGCATTAATTGATAATGAGAAAGTATCAGGAAATACTGATAAAAAGGTTTGTGTGCATTGGTTAATATAAATAATTTTGTATTCTGTCTAGAATTGCCTGACTAATGTGACCTTTTTTCACTGGAATAAGCCCTATTATAAAAACTTAAAAGGAATAATTGTATAAACTATGATTCAAAAACATTCTTTAAGCTTTTAATAAAGGAAACATGAGTGGAAAGCACATACTTACAGCTGTAATACTGCTTATATAACAATATATTTGCATCTCTCCAAGATTAATTAATAAGAACAAGCATAGTTCAAAAATTAATCAGTTGCAATAGATCTTTGTGTAAATAAAAATTATCCCAAATTAGAAGCTTTTGTTTATCATAAACTAAAATAAAGTCTAACACTTATTCTAATCTCCAGATTAATTCTCTTGCACTTTCTGTTGAAATGAATGAATAAGTAATGTGTTTTAAAGCAGTGTAGTCAATTATTTTGTCTCTCCTCAGGAATGTGAATCTGCTCCCTGCATTAACGGAGGTTCCTGTCAAGATGCTGTCAATGCGTTTGTTTGTACTTGCCTGAGTGGGTACACGGGCAGGTTTTGTGAAGTTGATGTTGATGTTTGCAGTGAGCCTGCATTGAACTCAGTTCTCTGTTACAATGGAGGTGTATGTGTTGATGGACCTGGAAGAGCATTTCATTGCAGGTTAGTATGAATATTGTCATATAACTGCTTAAGTTAATACACATTTATTTGCTAAGATTTCAGAGCAGTGGTATTACTTTGTGCAGTACGTGAACTCAGTTGAATTTGATGCTCAATCTAGTGATCAAAAATATTATTACATTCAACCAGTCACTGTTTAACATCAGGCCCTTTTGTCTGGAAACTCATCTTCTAGTGCTTTTCTGAATTATGTGTGGAAACTCCTGACACAAATTGACCCTATTTTTTTTTTTAATCACTATGTCATTATGTTTACAGATATGTATGTACTCCTGTGTTTTGCACTCAAAGAGAGAATTTATTTACGATCAAATTTAGATGACAGGTAATATTTGACCTACAAGGATGCTAGAGAGGGACTCTTCATTAGGGACTGTAGTGATAGTACAAGGGGTAATGGGATCAAACAGGGGAAGTTTAGGTTAAATATAAGGAAGAAGTTCTTTACTGTGTGGGTTGTGAGGCACTGAAATGGGTTGCCCAAGGAACTGGTGAATGCTTCATCCCTGGCGGTGTTCAAGGCCAGGTTGGATGGAGTCTTGGGTGATATGGTTTAGTGAAAAGTGTCCTTGCCCATGGTAAGTGGGTTGGAACTAGATGATCTTAAGGTCCTTTCCAACCCTAACTATTCTATGATTCTATGATTTATAGTATGTGTGTGACAACATATATACAAAGAAATTTCCTACAATCCATCGTCATTCTCTGTCTGTTTAAGGCTTCTGACTAAATACATCTAATCTTATAGTCTCTGTTAGATAACACAAATACGTTATTGTTTAGTTTACACCACTCAGTACATACTAAAATGCTTCACAGTGCAGTGAAGTATTTTTAGTGCACTGAAATACTTTTGCAGTGGTCTGCTATCTGCACAAAGACTTTCTTTTTTCAAGCTGCAGTGTCCCTTTCTTCTTTCACAAATGAATTTTCTGAACTAAGTGAAATTACTTATATTTCTCCTCTCTTCTGCTTGGGAACTTATTCCAAACGTTGTGAGCGTTACTACTTTGCACTTGCTTTTGAGTCCAGCATTGGCCATCAGGAGGAGCTGATCATGGATTCAGAGTGAGAAAAACTGCAAACAAGTAAAATAAGGGTTTTTAGTGTTGCCAAGATCACTAAGGTTTTAATGAGTGTTGTAAGACTACACTAAGGTAAGTTGATGTGAGATACAGTTTTAATGATACAACAAGAATTGTCATACTCATAAATTTCTTCTTCTGAGGGGGTCCAGGGAAATGACTTTTTTCAGCTCATTGCTCCTTCTAACACTAATATGCTTCAGAAGACAGACATAACTCCTTTCTTACCCTTCGGTAGCTGCTCCCATTCCAACTAAAGTGTACGAGTGGAAACTGGAAACAAAACAATCATTAAGTTGACTTGTTCCACCTGCTTTAAGCAGTCTGAACAAAAGTTATGTACAGGCTGGGGAATGGAACTGATATTCAGGATGGGAAAAGCAGAATAATTAGAGAATATGGAAGGGAGAAATAGCTTCTACTCTAGCAAAATGCCACAGATACTCAAGTGAGTAAGGAGACTTATTGCCTGTTGCACACTCATTATGGAATGGGCAGGAGGAAAAGCAAAAATCTGGTATCATTTAGGGACTCCTTGTTTTGTGTATCTGGCTTGAGGTAGCTTGTGGTTGGTAAAACTGGAAACAGCCAATAATGGAAAGTGCCCAGTAATGGATAAATGTCAGGCTGACTTAACTGAAGGCAGTGCTGCCAGCTTCAGTTATGATGTATGTGGTATTTTGCCCAGTAGTATAGTGAACAGTTAAACTTTTCTTGAATTATGTGGGAACCAATTACATAAACAACCCTACAGGCTTCTTCCTGAAATAAATATTAAACATGCCTTTTGGGGTAGCCCTTGAATTGTGTGTTAGCTGAAATATCTTTCTGTCTTCAAACCCTTGGTTTAAAATTAAAACAACTCACTGGAAATGAGAGGGGTGTTGGGAGTTGTAATTCACTTCTGTCCTGGGCAAACTGCCACTGAATCAGGGCTTCAGGAAACAGATTACAATCTGAAAGAATGCCCACCTTCTTTCTTTTGTATTTTAGTCTTCTTAATTAAAGGAACTGGTTGCCACAACAGCAAACACTGTATAAATTAGCAAATTAATAATAAAGCTGTCATTGGATTCAGTGGGGCTTTCAGAAGACAGTTCAACCCAACTTACATATGGTTGATATAATGAGTACATAATAGGAATTCTGAAGCCTTTTCATAGTATTCTGCAAGTATTTTGAGGAAGAGAAACTGTTCTTCATCAAATACTCAGATTTTTTTTCATTATATTTAATCCACAGTTGTTTCATCCTCACTTTTTCACCTTCTGGTCCCAGACCATTTTGCATGCTTGGCTTGGGATTTAAAAAAAGTAAAACCAACAATAGTTAAAGTATTCCTCCTTCCCCACTCATGCTGGCATTGAGCCTTTTTCAAATGTGTGTTTCAGGTATTTCTTGAGTATTATAGCTTCACTGTACTTTTTCAGGATATTTATAGCACATTTGGGTTTTGTAATGCTTTTGTTAGGGAAGACAGAGGTGATTTTTTAATGTCATTCTGTCCTTTGTGATCTACTCATGAGTAATCTTTTTCCAGAATTTAAAGTTATTTAGTGGCATAAGATAACTTTGTTGGCCTGAGAAATATGCAAGGTCACAAGTAATTTTAATGCTATCCCTCAATTCATAAAGGGAGACTAGTGCTTTTTGAATCTACTTTTCAGATTATATTTGATTATTTGCTGAATTACATGCAGAACTGAAGATTTTTTTTCCAGCACCTTTCAGCTGCTTTTCAGAATCATGGAATCATTAATGTTGGAAGGGACCTGTGCAGATCATTTAGTCCAACCCCCTGCCAAGGCAGGGCCACCTAGAGCACATTATGCAGAACGTATCCAGGCAATAATCAGAAGGATCCCCTGCACTTCAAAAGGCTTAATGTGTGGCGCATTTATTCAGCTGTGTGCCACCATCAACCCAAAGAGTGATTTAATGGTATTTGTTTTGACAATCAGGTCTTATGTGCCAGGTAACAGAAAAGGCAGGTTTCTGTTGGAAGATTGTTAACTGAAAAGCTTCGTTTCATTTAGCAGTTGATAGCTTGCAAGGTCTGACTGAAGTTGTAGAGTACACATTACACAGAGCTATGTATCTAAGTTTGTCAGAGCACTGAGATAAATGTAAGAAGAAAGTGACTTTATCATATAGAAGGAGTAACTCCACTGGAACATCGAAATTTCTTAAACAGGCAAGTCATAAAACAGTAAGTTCTCACTTTTGTATGTTCTGTGAATGTGTGTGTGGAAATCTTTCCCTATCTCCTCTGTGTGAAAACAGATGCTCCTCCACTTGTATGTAGATAAGGAGATGGGTTCTGTATGATTTGCTGATTTGCTAATCAAGTGCATAAGTCTTTACCTTTAATGAAGCATTGATATTTTAGGGTTTGCATTGTGTATTAGGTAACATGAAAAAAGGAGAATAGATGTACAGGTTGAAGCCAAGAACCCTCTAACCCAGCATTGTTATTCCCAACAGTGGCCATAAGTGGCTTGCAGGAAAGAATATAAAAAGTGCGTGCATAATATTTTTGCTCCAGTACTCTTCCATGTTCCCTCAAAAAGGGGATTTCCTGAGTGTCCTGTGGTTTGTTCAGTAGAAATTAGTGAGTCTCTAAGTATTTATGCAGTTTCCCCTTAAACCTGTATAAACTTCTTTGAGGAGGGGGCTTTGAGTAGGCAATCTCCAGAGGTCCCTGCCAACATCAGCTGTTCTGTGACAGTACCATTCAGCAAGCAGATCCACAGGTCTAGCCTGTTGCATGAAAAAGGCTTTAGCTTTGAGCACTGCTCTTGGTACCTTTATCTCATGTTCCCTTATTCTGGTGTGAATAAGAAGAATGAAAAGCTGGCTCCTAACCATCCTTTCCTTGATTCTGTGGTCCACTTCCATATTTCCCCATGCTCCTTCCTTTCCAGGCTAAAGATTTTTAGCTTTCCCAGTTCTTCCTCCTTCAGAAGCCATCTCAAACTTTTGGTCATCCTTGTTGCCCTTTTTCCAGGCTTTTTGATTTGTATTTTGTTTTTTAATTTGTATTTTTTTGCTTTACTGACACGAGGGGATAAGAAGTACAGAAAGTATCCAAGCTATGGGCCTCTTTGTGATTTATACAGTGGCATAATGTTTTCTTTCTCCTTCTCTAATCCTCCCATAACAGCAACAAGCATTTCATTGATGCTGGCAGGAGAGGGTGTTTCACGCAGGTATTACAATTTTATTCTTAAGTTGGTTGATACAGTTTCCATGGAGAATGGTTAGATAAAGTTGGCATACTAACATGTTCCTGGTCCACTCCATGTATAATTATTTTAACTATAAATATGCATATAGATATGTGTGTGTGTTTCCATTACACTGCACTTCTTTATTTAAGCAAAATACCACTTCACTGTCAGAGCAATAAAAATAGGTAATTATGTTAATGATAATTTCTAACCATTTATTCAATTTTATAACAACAAATTCTCTTGTCTCCATGTGAAAAGTACTAACTGTAATACCATCAAAAGAAATAGTATAGTAAAAATGCAGATCATGTCCTGTATTTTTCTTACTTTCTGAAATTACAGTAAAATTCTTCATTTACACGTGTGACAAGCTTATAAGGGAATCTATTTGCTCCATGCTAATATAAAATAAATAATTAATTTAATAAACTGCATATGCTGTTACTCTTTAACGTATCTCTACACTTTCAACTAAAATCAAAACCGTAACCATAAAAATGTTAATATGTAGTTTAAAAAGGTAGTTCTCCAAGTGAATTATAGTTCTGAAATTTTTTACATATATCTTGTTGAGAAGAAGCTTTGGTGTTTATAATTTGTATACTTTAAAATAAGTTTTTATTAATACATGCCTTATTGCTCCGTTTTTTCATTCAGATTG